GCGTTCTGCATCCCTTCTGCAGAGAGCAGGGTGAAGCTTCAGGCGGAAAAGGCGATTAAAATGTTGCAAAAAGGAGCGTCCCACCCCTGCTTCTAGCCCAGACAACACACTCACAGCTCAGTTGCATGGCAAACAAGGTAAATTACTTTTCTTTCAAGAAATGCTGCCTGGCAAAAGCGTTAAGTGGCCTGAGCAGGCTCGTAAATCAATACACAGTTGTCCCAACGCAGCTGCTCATTTTAACAGGGACCACTTCGCAATGGCAGTGTTGGGTAGAGAGATCTCCCTCATCGTTGGGAGAAACACTTCCCAATTTTGTTCGTCAATTCGAAACTGTGAATTTGAAACTTGCAGGTGTAGGTAATATAATTGGGTAATTTAAGTTATGTTAGTCTGTTAAGTTTATGCAAACATATTTTGCATGTCTGGTTTTGTCTGTGTTGGGGTGGGGCGCACAAACAAAACTGTAACTCAAAGGGGGCTCAGGACAAAAAGCTGGAAAACTGTTGCTGAAGAATAATTGTTCGCTTCTATCACCGATAAACTAACATGCTGCATGGGGCCTGAAGTACAGGGGCTGGACTTTTTGTGTATAAAAGAGCACTGTTCAAAACTGGTAGGCCTGTGGGGTAAGGGGAAAAAAGGGTTGAACCTTTGAATCGGGTTAAGGTCTCAGATCCAACCCTTGCCGGGTTCAACATCTTCCTCAGTTTTGCCTTGCGCTGGGAATGGCAGCAGAAGCTCCTTGCCGAGGGGAATTTTTCTTTAGCAGGGGCCTAAACTCTTACCTCAAGCTGACAAGAGAGCAGCTGTCTGCTCCGTAGGGTAGCTGGCTACTGACTGAACTAGCACAACAAGGCAGCAAACTGGGACGGAAACAACAGTAATAAAAAATATTCCTTATAGATTCCTGCAAGGAAACAATGATGGGGGTGTTATATATAGCACAGAAGGGGAATGATGAATCTCCACTAAGGATTTCAAATCCCTAGTGCATGGCAAAATGAGGAAGGTGTTGAGCACAGCCAGGGCTGGAACTGAGGGATTAAAACCCTGATTCAAGGTGAACATTTAAGGCTAGTGAAAAGTGCAGGGTTGCTTACTCTCCTCCAGGCCTGACTTCCATCCACAGGCAGGCAGAGCAGCAGCAAAGTGCCCCAAACTGACTAGAAACATCCTCTTGCTAAATCCCAGTGGAAAACCCTGTAAGTTTTCATCTTTTTAGGTTCTGAAGAGTAATCCAGACTGACTGGTTTTGACACTAACTCACAGCCTGGCTCTACATCCACTACTCGCTGAATTAGCATCTTAACAGTGAATGAAGTAGGCTGCCCCCTACAAAAGCTCAGGCCTCCCAGTCACGCTCTAAGGGCTGCCCTGTCATGCTTTCTACCCACTGAATCTCAAAACACCCTTTACAGAGGGCAAGGAGCAGCAAATAGTTATCTGTGCCGGATGCAGCCTTAACCTCGCCTGTATTCATTATTCATTTTCATTATTCAGTTCCAGAAAAAAAGTCAGCCCAAAACAGAAGAAAAATCACATTTGGTAAATGGCCAATGGTTCATAGCTGAGATCCAAGGTTTCCTCTGGTGAGTGCAGTATAGAGGAGCAGGATGCTCAAGCTTTTGGGGACAACGCAGCAACATGAGTGAGATTTAAAATTCTGGAACGTGTTGCACAATGGAGACAGATTGTGACCATGCAGTGAGAGACAGTTTGGTGCATAAATAGCATTTGAATTCAGTACATAAACACTCTACCCCAGTTACCTTTTTTCCACAAATATCCAAATGGAGTCCCACATATGGATGTGCAGCATGCAAGAGTTTAACACCAATTACAAAAAACAGGAATGGGGAACACCTACATAGGGGGAATGGGGTAGGGGAGATGAGAAATACATTTGTGCTAGTAAAAAGAAGTTTTCCTTTTCTTGGTGGGACCTTCCTGGGTTAGGGTCTCAACTGGTGTAAAGCAGGACAACTCCATTTGCACCTCAGGAGCTACATCCATTTTTACTAGGGCCTTGATCCTGAAAAGACTTAGGTGGCTCAGGCTGCTGGCAGATGTTAAAGAACAAACGCACTTTACTGGAAGAACCAGCATGTTGCTTTGACCTGGCTCTGCAGCATCTGTATAGATTGGGCACTGCAGTGGGGCTTTTTGGCTCTATTAGCTAAAGCTTATTCAAGTAGTTATTAGATAAAAACACCAAAAAAGCCCCACTAAAGCACCTGATTTTACAGACAATCGGGCGAGCTAGGTCCAAATAAGGCGCTGCTTCTTTTGGGCATGCACCGAGCTTAGTATGGGAATGCACCAAGGTTAAAGTAAAGCGTTTGAGGGGGGCAGGTTTGTTTTTTAACATCTGCAAACAGCCTTACGACACTTTTTCCCCCAAATCACATGCGTAAGACATTGACTGAAGGCTCCTATGGTTACATAGGCATGCTCCAACAATGTACGGATACTCGAGAGGAAAAATGTGAACAGGAGTCATCCCTGCTTAGGAGCTTGCTGCATAGGGCTCAACAGGGTATCTAGCTCTTCTTTTTAGGAGGCCTGATCCAAGTAGAGCTGAGCATGTAAGCAGCTCACTCAACTCATCATTCATGGGTACCTTGGTGAATTAGGCAGTGCTGTAGTGGGTTTCCAAAGTCAACTGTCCCTTCAGAGGATGCACAGACACCTTCATCCTGCCATCCTTGATGAGGCAGCTCACACAGTGGGAGTTTTACCCGAGCAGGACTCCAGGCTCTGACACTAATGGTAGACACAGCCACACTTTAAAGGGCTTCAAAAAGAGGAACACTTTGACCATGGACAAACATATGGTCCTCTGCTGTGCCCCCTAGCTAGACTGCTTCAGGAAGAAAAAAAAACACTGACCGCTGCAGAACTGACCAGGAGCATTCTGCAGCCTGTAGGCAAGCGCTCTGTGCACTCTGCATCCACTGTCTTGGCATGTCCTCCTCTACCAGAACTCAGAGACCGAAGGCCCCCCACATGGCCTCCCCCACCACATTGGTTCCACTACCTCTACGTAGTAGTTGCTTCCTGCAGGATTTTTGGAGCTCTTCAAGGGCATGCACATCTCTCTGCTCCTCCTCTGAATTGCTTCAAATATTACATTTGTTGACGGCCTGAGAGAACACCTCTTTTTAATTGGCTAGTCAATCTCTCATTAAGCTTTGACCGTATTCCAGGTAATTGTGCTTGGATAGACTGTTCATTCCATCAGGGTCACCTTAATCCCTGGCCGTGGGGTCGGCCTAATTCAAGCCTCTTTGGAGCCCGTTTGAGGACTCAAGCAGTGAACAAGTTTTTGGCCAGCCCTCAGCATAGGGCTGCATTCCCCCCATACAGCTGAACTCTGCTCCTCCATGTATCTTCAGTGAAGTCACACAGGGTGTGATGCTGTTCCAGCACTGCATGGTCACTGCATGATCAAATAGAGATAGAAGGCAGGTTCGGACAACCAGTGCATCTTTCACAACATGCAGGCATTGTTAGTAAGAGAAGTTGGTATAGAAACAGTAAATTAAGTTGGCCCTCAGTTCAACACCACTTGTTAAACTTTTCCTGTATTGAAGCTTTTTTGATTTTAAAGAGGTATACATTTTACAGTTTTCTAGGTGTGATTAGCCACAGTCTGCTTAAGGTACAAGACCATCACCGAGACTATCAGAAGGTGAAAGCTATACTCTTTTTCTGCTTTAAAATGTTGTAAAAAATGTTGAGTGAATATTTTTTTTAAAGTTTTAATCATAATGGCATATCAGGCAAGTGATTGCAGTATCTGGGCTGGTAAAATTGTGACAAATTTGCAAAGCCAATTTAGTATTTCTTAGTTATATGCACACATCCACTTTATTCTTAGTAGAAGAAACTGCTTTGCCACTTCAGAACTGGCTTTCTAGCTAGAAGCAGTATAGATGATCTAATCTTAGCGCCTGGACAATGCTGAAAAATTATTGTGCTTCTGCAAAAGCAAGAAAAAATGAATTCAGAGCAGAACTCTGGTGCCTTGTACTCCATGCAGCCAGAGAAAGAGGAAGTCTAAAATATTTTGCAGTGCTTTCTTATTCCATGTTCGAGTCTAGCAATGTTTTGTGGTCAGGAACATCAACCACCAGTATCTGGCAAGAAGAGCATCATGTCAGATTGGAAATAATGATAAAATAAGAGGATCATAGTAAATACATGCACATAGACTTGAGGGTAATTTTGATTCCAACAAAATGTTTGGCACTTTCCCAAGCTCTCTACTGAATCCAGTTCTGAAGAAAATGAGTAATGCGTATGTGCCATATCAAGACTACATTGGATTGTCAAGCACATAAAAAAAATCATTACTGGTCAGGCTTCACAAAAGTCAAGAGAGTCTTCTAATGGAGCACAACCAGTACAACTTGACTGGATAGGAAACGACACCATTTCATAAAGAGGCAGAAGATTAGCAGAGGGGAGGGAGGTGGACAAAAAAAAAGCCTATACAAATTGCATCAATACAACAGTATATAAAAAAAGCAGCCATCTCTGCTTATGGAACTTCATATTAAAAAATTAGAAGTCATCCAGGTCTCAAGACCCATTTTAATCATTTGTTTAAAAATGCAAAGAGCAGACTTGGGATGGAGGTACAGCTTCCAGAGTACCCCAGGTCAGGATGTTTAAAATTAGAAAGGTCTCTAGGTAGTGCTAGGTAACACCTGTAGGGCTTTATTACTCAGAAACCCTCTCTGGACATTGTATCCTCACTCTGTCAATAGTCCATACATTTTGTCTTGACATAGCAATGTGCACATTATGGCAAGGAGGAAAAATAATAATAATAAAAAAATTCCAGTGCAGTATCTTGGATCATAGCCAAAATTCTCTGTTCCACTTTTCTCTCTATTTTTGGTAGTGAAAATCTTGGAGAGAACACCTCTGTTGCAAATGGTGAGCAAACAGACCACCACAACTCTCACCCCCCCCTCAGTGCCCCTCTGACCCACAGTTTAAAAAAAAGAAAAAGGCAGAGATGAGGGAAAAATGAGGTAACTTCTCCCAACGGGGTGCATACATGTACCGCTGGCTCTTCTAAAGCGCCTACTGTCCTTTAGGAGATAGGGTGTGGGGACTTGGCAAGGTGACGGTTACATAAAGAAGAAGCTACAGGAGGAGAGAAAAGGAAAAAGAGGTTCAGAATCAAAAAAAAGAAAAAAGAAGAAAAGAGAAAACAGCAACATTTTAAAGAAAAGTCATCTGTGAAGGAAGAGAGAGTGTACTAGTGTCTCTTCAGAAACTGGGGCAGCTTAAAAATCAGGAAGAGTGCACGGATGCGGACCTTACCAACCTGCTATTTTGTTAACTGGGGAATAAGAGTGGGGAAGAGCCCAATTCTTCTATAGAATTGCTCCATAATTTTTTTTAGTGAAAAAAATGAGTGAAAACTGAGAGTAAGGCACTTTAGGAGAAGTGCCTTGAATCTAAGGAGCAGTGCCTTGAGTCTAAAAAGGTGGAGAACCCTTGCAGCAAGGGAAGTTTAGGTTACATATTAGGAAAAACTCTCTTACTAGGAGGGTAGTAAAACATTGGAACAGGTCACCCAGAGAAGTGATGGAAGCTCCATCCTTGGGGGTTTTTAAGACCCAGCTAGATAAAACTTTGGCTGGGATGAACTAGTTGGGGCTGGTCCTGCTTTGAGCAGAGGGTTGGACTAGATGACCTCTTGAGGTCCCTTCCAACCCTAAGTTTCTATGATTCTACGGTGGTAATGAAGGCTGTAAATGCTAACTGCTCAGAACAGCCAAAGGAACAACCAACTCAACAACAAAAGATGTCTATGTATACTTCAAGTACAAATGTGTACACTCAGTTGACATGTTTTCACTCCCATGTTCTCCCTCTTCCCCCATGCCAAACAGACATCAACCAACAGTGACAACAAGAAACAAAGCAAAACAAAAATCAAAAGCACGCAAATACAAGAACGTTTGGGTAAAAATATATTTTCTATCCCCACTTCATGTGTTGGCACTAGCCATATATGTAGCCTGGGTCAAGTACAGGTAGTAACTGAGCTATGCCATAAGATTATTATTCAATTTGTACTTCCAAAATGAAATATGCTTACATTAATAGAGTGACAAATATCTAACAGATGAATATATATATGTCTGCATTAACACTGTATGTATGCTACACAGTCATTTAGATATAAACATAGGTTATTTTCAAATAGAAAGGCAACAGTAATAATGTTCTACACCTATAGTTTAAGGCAATCAAGATATTAAAAATGTATACAAATACAAATATTTCTACTGCTGTTCACAGCTTAATTTTTAGTTAATTAAAAAAAATCCTTCATATTTGTATAATCCCATACTTTTACACGCTGGCTGGAAAATCGTAGATACTACATACTGTAATGCAACCCTGGTCCTTGAAGAAAAGATGACAGGAGTAAGGAGTTCTAACGTCTGAGAATAGCAAATGGTAACGTGATTCAAGCGGACAAAATTGCATATGATCACACACACAAGACATTTCAGTTTTCAAGACAACAGTTTAAAAGCAGAATGAGAGCTACCTGAAAAACAAAACCAACTGATGACATTAAATAAGACTTGCTTAAAAAGAGACACAAATACAACAAAGCCTTCTTGACAGGATAAGTTGCTAAAAATGTACAAGGTACCAAAAGGATGAAAGATTT